GCCGCCGGGGGAACGACGGCAATCAGGTAAGTAACTCAGACCGTTAGGACGGTTCAGGACCGTTATCGGTCGGCAACGCAAAAATGCCGATGACGGTCCTGAACCGTCCTCGGTTGTTAAGGGGTTAAATGATCTATGAGTGCCCCTCCCGTGATAAGGCTCCCACCTCAGCCGCCCCCCTCTGCTCCCACCTCAGCCCCCCTCTCTGTACCCACCTCAACCCCTCCCTGTACCTACCTCAGCTCCTCCTCCACACATCAAATCTCCCCTTGCACTCACCACAGCCCTCCCTGCACCTACCTCAGTTCCCCTGCAGTCACCTCAGCCACCATTCCTCCCTACACTCACCCCAGGATCTACCTATCCCTCTCCCCACCTAAGCCCCTATGCACCCAGCACAGCCCCTATGCCACATCCACCTACCATAGCTCCTATGCCGTCCAGTACCCACCACAGCACCTATGTCACTCTCTGTGCCCACCACAACACCTTGTCTACCAGCACCCACCACAGCTCCTTCTGCACACACCACATCTCCCCCTGTAACCACCTCAGCCCCCCTTTACCCACCTTAGCCTCCTGTCTCTTTTGTGGGGATATTTATGGGATAATAATAGTAACAGTGAGAATTGCCCACTATTTCAATTCTCAGATCCCAAAGAACGTTTATCGTGTTAAGTGGAATGTATTTCATATAATTAATCACAATGTATAAAAATAGATTTTATTTATGATAACAAATTAATAATAACAACATGTAACATGCATGACAATAATCAATGAATATTCAGTATAAAACGATATGCAATACAAAGAAATGGGTATTACGTTTCAATGGCTAAACGGCATTATCTGTCAAGAATTCTGAGGATTTATGAGGTATCCTTAACACAGACTTTTCACAGCTAAGAACAGAATTCCTCAGAGTGCAGCGTGAGGTCGTAAAGTTTAGCAGACAGTTAGAATAACCCTTTCAATGCTGGCTAGATCTCCTAGGTAGTTAAGATCTATTCTTATGTAATTTTTAAATAAAATAAAATTTAAACCAGTTCATTAGCCATTTCCAGAAAACAATCCAATAAGAGAATCTACATATTATATAAGCAGATTTTTAATTTGTCTAAAAGATATCTATCTTAATTTAGAGCAAATCAATACACCTGGATAAAAACAGCGGTATGCTAACACGTGATAATATCACATCAATATATAATTATTCTTAATTCCACCTGCAGAATGGAATAATTATAACTATATATTCTTTAGTTAACTAAGATTTCTTAATATGGAAATCTGACCGTGCTTTATCCAGTCATATATAATGCTATTAATACATTTTAATTAATTTAATTTAATTAAATGAAACCAGTACAATTACCAGTTGAGTAGATATTTCATCCGATTGGTAGTCTCAGGAATTTATTTGGATGTGTCTCTGCATGGAGGTTGGAGTCCCCAAACTTCCAATTCCTCTCTTTTCTCTCCTTTGCATATCTTGCATCTGCCTCCTTCGTATCTTTCTTGTATCTCTATCTTCCCTTTGTCTTAACTTTTAAAGGGCCAGACTCTCTGTACGTCATCAGTTGATAACCCAATAGAAGCACTAGAGGTGTGGTTATCTTCCAGATCGCAAATTAGTTATTTGGTCTGTAGAGGGCAGTCTTGTCCCACTAAACATACCTATCCAGGAAAGAGTTAACTTTTCCTGGTGGCTATTTTGACGTCATTTTGCGTTATCTTTATAGCGCCATAATTTAAAATTTCAAAGGGTTTCTTAAATTTTGTCCAGACTTAGCGTCTGCAATTCCTGCCATAATTTCTGATATGACAGATCATGAACTAAGTTTACCCTTTTCCATACAATGGTACCTTATATATATAGACAGTTAAATATTAAATTATTTAATCTTCTCTGTCACAATTGTCTGGGTTTAGATTTGATTATATTCCATTAGCATTTTAGACAGTCTATCCAACCCCCTTCCTTATCACTTGTTTGTATATACTCATGCATTCCTCAGATCTGGGAAAGTGGTTAGCTTGCAGATAGAAATATAGTGTCTTCTTTGTTAATTTGAAATAACAAAATGGAGTCTGGTCTGTTCAGAGTGACTCAGAATATACACTTTTAGTTTCTATCATAGCACAAAATGTCTGCCGATATAAATACCCTGACACTTTGCACTAACCTCAATCCCCCATGAACCCACCTCAGTTCCCCTGCACTCACCTCAGCCACCATTTTTCCCAACACCCACCCCAGGACCTACCCTGTTCCCACCCAAGCCCCTATGCTCCCACCATAGTCCTTATGCCACCTCCAACTACCATAGCCCCTATCCCTTTCAGTACCCACCACAGCCCTTATGACCCCTCCTGCGCTCACCACAACCTCTATGTCCCACCTCATACTCTGTCCAGCCTCACACCCACCTCAGTCCCCATGCCTCCCCGCGCTCATCTCAGTCCCCGTGCTCCTACCACAGCCCCCGTGCCTCCCTGCACCTACTTCAGCATCTATCCTCCATGCACACACTACAGCCACTATTCTACTTATACACAGTAGAGTCTCTATTACCCAAACACGCACACACTACAGCCCCAGTAACCACCAGATGCCTACTACAGATTCTATCCCGCACACACTGCAACACAACCAGCCATGTCCACTCACATACTGCACCGCAAATAGCCCCATTCACACACGCAAAAACCCACAAGGACCCTCACTGTATAGACACAATTCCACGAGCAGCATCCCCACACATACAAAACATGCAGCCTCCCTACACATACACATCACAAACCGCTTACCCACCATTGCAATACTGCACACAGCCTCCACACACACAATTATTACATTCAGTTATATAGAGCCAACATATTCTGCAGTACTGTACAATAGATAAAAAGATTAACTGAACACAACACTTTGACATACAGGAATACAACATCACTAGCAGCATCCCCACACACGCAACCCCACAAGTAGACTCCAAACACATGTGGCTACTTGTATGGTTGCACATGTGGGGGACGCTGCTTGTAATGTCCTCAGCAAAATCAGTGGAAGTGTGTAATTACATTTGCTTTATTTCTTTATTTTAATTGCTGGGGAGGCACGCCAGCAAGGGTTAATCTATCTAAAAACAGTGTTTATTAAAACACTGTTTTTGGCTGGATTAACACCTTAAAAGTAAATTTGGACATTTTTGGGGGCTCCGCGGGTGTGGGAGTCAGGGATGTGACAGCCATTCTGTGTGCCGGGCAGCCTACACATAATATATGTGTGACAGCAGCAGAAGGAAGGGGGAGAAGAGTAGTAGGGGGGGGCAAAAAACCTTGTACCAGGACCAAGGACCAGGAGGGGGGGCCCTTGATCACCCACCACCCGAGGGCCCTGTGAGTGGTCAGTCCGCCCCTGTTTACATTGGTACTTGGAAGAATTTTATATTACTGATTTAATGACTAGTATATTACCTTATAGCAAAACCTAAGAAGTCCTAATGTATTTCCTTCTTTAACTAAAGGAAAATTGCTGTTTTTCAGAACATTTAGGAGTCCTGCAGCAGATATCGATTTTAAGAAAAATGGAAACATTCTAGCGAGAAAGTTGGTTTCCCAGAAAAAACCATTTGATCATTCATTTATTGGATGCATTATCTATAATCCAGAGAAAATCCCCCATCGTAATGAAGTGTTTTTAAAGCCGCAATAGCCTGCATACGTTATAGAAATTTAATTGGATTAATATTATGTTACAATGCCAAGACGTTAAAGCATCTCTTGCACCTTTTAAAGGAGAGTTATCTCTTTGCTAGAAATTACATTATCAAATAAAACATCCACAATTGACTTTAACTTGTCTAAACTTATTTTTTGTGTTGCTTTATTTTCATTATCAACCAGTAAATGCTGTTAAACATTGTAAAAATTTAATATTGCTAACGTGGAATGAAAAATTATTTAGTTGTAATTTGAAGACTGAAAGCGATAAGTGTAAAACTGTTCACATATTGCTTGACTCCTTACCAGGTGACGGCACCAGAAGATTCCTGATACCATAACCACTACAGCATCAATTAGTGGTTAGAGTCCTTAGAAACCCCTTTTAAAGCTGCTCTGTCACTTTTGTCTTATAAGCAAAACTGAGGTTGGCAAAAGGCAGAGCTTCCAATGTCAATGTTTGACAATTACAGACAGCTGTCACCAGCAAAAGCTGTGGAGAAAGGCCTCTTTTCATGCATTGAGCAAGTAGTTTTTATTGAAATAGAATTTCAATGTAATTACAATGCAGTCAACATGCGTATTTTATTAAGACTTTATCTATATGAAAACTCAGCAGTGCCAATGCTAATTAAATGAATTATCATGGATAGTGATCGAACAGATCAACGGCATAGAAAACTAGCATTACATAAATATATCAACTTAACAAATATATATGTGTTTTGGTTTTACCTGAGATTAGGGCCTCAAGGCAGATCACATATATTTACATATAAATTTCAAACTGCTAGGGATCTGCAGAGGCATGGCACACCTGATCGGTAGTCACCTACAGATCTTATGGAACTCCAGATCCGATTGCGGAGTCGCTGCAGTCCGGTCAAACTCCATCGAGGTTGCTCTCAGCCCCAGAA